CCTGGATGCAAAAGGGTTTCGGGTTTAGGGTTAGGGTTTAGGGTTATCCTCCTAAGTGGGAACTCGCTTAGTCAGTCCTGTGGCCTTAAGGCTCTCTGTAAGGTGGCCAATGCAGCGTTTTTGCAGTTTTGAAGCTTTTTGCTATCATGCAAGAAGCCCTTCCAGGATTCCAGGGATTGCTATGAAGCACTTACCACAGCAGCTTTTTGAATATGAACCTCGCAACTAAGCACTTGTGCAGCCTAACATAGGTAAAATTTGCTCTTGCGGCTGCTTTGGGGCTTGGGGTTCAGCTTCGTGGAAGAACTGCGCTTTGCCTTCCTGTGTCTGGCGTTAAAGTGGGCTTTGACACAAGCATTGGAGTTTAGCATCGCCAAGTACTCTCTGCCGAAGCTCCTCCTGCACGGCCGTGTTGCAGTTGCTTTAGGCCTATAAGTCCCTGCCATGTCCCTATAAACCTTATAAGCCCTATAAATCCCAAACCCTCAAACCCTGAAGCCTTAAACCCTTGGCTATGGCTCAAGCCAATTTGTGCGAAGTGTCAGGGCCCCAGGCTCACACAAAACTTGGAGGAGTGAGTCTCTTACTCTTCACCATTTCCTGGAAAGACGGAGGAAATCCTGAACTTGCTTTGGGTGAGTCTAATAGCTTTTTCACTATCCGTCAACGTCATCGAATCATGGCTGACGTTGGCACTTCACTTGAGGATCCATTCATCGCTGCCCTCTTTGGCAACGCTGACATCCTCAAGAGTCCCCAAATCCACTTGTGCATTCAGACACCTGTGCCAACGTAGCCAACTGGTAATGCAGGGTGGTTTTGGACCTGGAGGTGAGCTTGGCAATAGCTCACTGTCTCACTGGGTTCAAGACAAATTAGAAGGAGGTGCCTGTTTCGCAGTCCTTCCTTTCTCTGTGCTTCAGTGGAGTGGGGTTCATTAACAACGGACACGGGGCGAACATGCTTATGAGTGTGTTCGCGCAGATCCTACAGGTCGCCTGGCTGTGTCTCGGCTGGGGCGCTCCAGAGAGTTGGAGACCCTTTCAACTCCTTGCTGTCGTTCTGTTCTCAACGAACGTCCCACTTTGCTCCCAAGGATATCTGGTCACATTGGCTTTCTCCTTTGCGAATATATTCATGGTGACTAGCGTGCTTCCAAGGACTTCTGACAAGGATGCTCGAATGAGTCGGCATTACCACATTGCTGCTTGCGTGGCAATTGTGGTGGGGCTCTTTGTGGCCCATGGAGCTGACCCTTCGGTCTTGCTGAAGGGTTTGGTCGAACCTGCTGTGTTGGCCCTGTGCTCAACAGCCATTCTTCCAGCTGCTTGCATCAGGAGACTGATCATCTTCGTTTAGCTGGTCGTTCTGATCGGAATGATCTGCCTTGTCTTAACGTTGATACAGAGTGTTGCATTTGCTACTTTGATCTTGCTGCTGTTTGCGATTTTCTGCATAGTTTCAGCTTCAGGTGTGATAGGAACTGTGTCAATGCAAAGGCCAAAGTTCTTAGAGTCTATTCAGCTCATGGCCCGTGTTACTGTCGCTGCACCTTTCATGCTTGTAGGTCAGGTGTTCACTGTCTCCTTCAACGTAGCCACTGCCGTCTACTTACTACTGCGGGTGGGCCTCGCAAGTTACTTTGGAGAACTGATTGGAAATGTCGCATCTGGAGAACCGTCGTTGATGGGATAGTGTACTGTTCTCTCACGAGCCAGGACATCTCTCACGCTGACGCGCTGCTCCCCATGGAAACTATTTCCACATTCGGAGTCGAGAGCGCGGACTGAGGCAACAACCGCGACTGGAGACAAGTCAGAGGATGACAGCATTGCAGCTAGTGATTCCGTGAGTGCTGCTCAAGCCAAACAGGCTGCCAGGGCAGCGCCGTCCAAACCGACAGCTGGGGCCGAGAACAAGGAAAAAGCCTCTTCCTCGGAGGCCAATCCCGATTCGAAAGCTTCAGCCAGTGACGCACGCAAGGACAACTTTCCTGCAGCATGCATGAAGCCGAACGTGTTTGTGACTTTGGAGCACTGCTTCCCGAAGGGTATTGACATTCCGTGGAGCAAGAATTGAGAAACGCGAGGTCGTCAAGGGGAAGAGGGACAACATGGTTGTTTTGATGGCCAAAGTTCAGCAATCCCCTTCGAAGGTTGAGTATGGCTCATCTTTCAAGGCCAGCGAGCTCAAGATGTTCCAAGGCGGCAAGCCAATCTCTCTCGAGGATTGCAAGTTTGAGGATGGCAGAACTGTCTACAAGAACACGAGTGCACAGGATCCAGACTCTCTGAGTTGTGCGGAGCCTTTCTCGGAGGAGCTGAAGTCTGTTGTCGAGAAGTTGTCGGCTTAAGCAGCTTTCGGAAGGGCCAAGCACCTACTTGAATGGCCGGCCAAAGCTGTTGTCCGGGTGCGATCGAGATGGGGGCCAGTCAAGGTCAAACCATTCTTGAAGGCATGGCCGGTTCTTCTCCTCTCCAGAAGTTTGGTTTCGCAAGGTTACGTGCCAGCAAATGCGACTATGCAAAGGCAAGTGTTCGACACTTTGAGGAAGCTGGGGAGCTTCACGGTTTTCGATCCTTGTTGCGGAGACGGCAGACTCCTTAAGCATTTGAGATGTCGAGGAGTAGAGACTTGCGGCGATGTAGAACTGATGCAAGAACATGCTTTTTCTGCTAGGGAGAGTTATTGCCAAAGCTAGTAGATCTAGCCTTCCTATGACTACTGTTGTCAATCCACCTTACAAGTTGGGTATGGCTTTTGCTCGAGCAATTGTGCAAAATGCAAAAAAACATGGTCCCGTTCTCGTTATGTGGCCCAGCAAATACATCAAGGATGCTCCAAAGTTTGGATATCGGTTGGTCAACCGGTTACCCACACTTGGAACAAGGGTGACGGGTTGATTAGTGTCAATTCTTTTGCCTCGCGGGTAGTTCCGATGATATTTCCACCTTCTAGTTCAGTTGCGAAGTCTAAGCTTGCACCTATTACACTGAAAGTTTCGTTTGATGACTCTTCACTGGATGGAAACGAGCCAAAGACTCTCCCAGCTCCTAGATACGTTCCAATCTAACATGAGTTCTCTCGGTCAAACGGGAAGGCTTACTTTCATTCCTGATTTTATTACCAGCGCAGCCGCCACCCGTTTCTCCAAGCTGTGAGTCCGTGAGCGAGCTGTGCGGATGTCCAGTTTGGGACTGTTCCCTTAATTTTTTTGGTCACTCTGTATAATTACTGGTTATCGGTTCGCCATGAATAGTCCCAGTGGAAGTGTCTGCGTCCTGTGTTACACCGACTTCCGACTATGGATCCTCGCCTGGTTTGTCCGAGTTGTGAAAGTGCAACGCCTTAAACCCTAAATCCGAAACCTTAAGCCCTCAAAGTCCCCGGTTTCAACTTGCTTTGATCCTCACCTCTGCCTGACCTTGAGCCCTCGCTCATAGAGACTGCAAAGGGCCAGGGTAGGTAACCTGCAGCCGTTTCGGGCATATCAAAAGCTACCGCAATCCACAGGTTATGTTTTCAGGCTAGGGTACCCAGCCCCTAAGTAAAGGATAGAGGGCCGATTTTTCCCACAGGAGGCCACCGAGCTGGCAAAGATCAGCCGTGACCTTCAAAATCGAGAGGTGCCTTCTTTGAGGTTTAATGTAAAAGCCGAAACAATTACCTATATTATTCTTTATGGTTGATGTGTTAGTTATAGCACAAGGGGCCCCAAAACATTATTCTAATTATTAAGGCCGCTACATTAGGGTTTCAGCAAAATCGAGAATAGGGTATTGGGTGGTCAGTCATCGCGAGACCTGTGAGCATGTGTGGTGGGGAAAATGTTCAGGGACCCAGGAACATGCAAGATCCTTGATCCTGCCTACACCCGCCCACGCAGAAACTACAGCTCACATACATACAAACATCAATGCAGATATGCCTCTGACTGTGCTTATCAATCTGCCTGTCTGCAGGTATGCATGATTCGCTTTTGCATGTATACATGTTTGTATGAGGTAGATTATTTTCTAGTTTCTGTGTGGAGGAAGGGCCGCAAGACACCAAAAACAGAGACACAGAGCAAGCCCAGCAAGGAAGGAAGGAATGCTAGACGTCCAGACTCTCTTGCACTGCTAGACTACCAGAGCCTTGCAAGCTTCAAAGGTCGGAGTTGGATAACACTTCTGTCGCAGGTTCCAGATGCAGCCACGGAGCCCCATGTTCTACGCGAAAGCTATCCATCCTTCAATGAAGGTTTCATGAAGCCCTGGTCTGCGATATAGAGGTCTGAATCATGCGTAACAATGTCCCGTGCAGTCACCATACCCCCAAACCCATTTTTGGAGAACAACAAAATGCAGTTATTCTTGTTTTATGCTAATTGCTACTCAGCCCCCCATATGTGTTAATGAACAAAGACAACGCTGCTACGCTTCCTTAAGATTTAGGTTTCTTCTGCGGGCTGTTTGCTTGCTGACAGGAGCTTTGTGCCCCCGTTCTGTCCAGAAGCTTGGATGCATCCCTAATTGAAAGCAGTAATTACCTGGGGAATTCCAAATACTTTCTGTTGCCAACGGTTCTATGTTGGGATTGAGCAGGAAGTTAGCTACGAACAGAGGCCTTACATAGGAATATTAATGGGTTCCGCGGGTAGGACACGGCGGAAGAGTGGTTTCTTCATGTTGGCAGATTTCAACTCACATGTCTGTCGCAGCAGTGACAAAGCAACAGCGATGGCGACTTTGGATTAGTTGTTGATCTGCGAACAGCAAGGGCAGACAGCACTACGAACATGCAGAGTAAGGAAGTGAGTTTCGCAGGGTAACCAGCACTGACAGTTGGACCGCGGAAGCATCCATAAGTGCGAGGTAATAAGTCGATGACTCGGATGAGCGGATCTGTTCTGTAGACGTATCCAGCCCGAAAGCTGTCCACTCGAAGGAAAGCTGAACCTGCCTCCGCACATGATTCTGAAAGAAATCCTGGTCGAAGAGCGCTTGCCACTTATCCTTGTGGAAGGTCTAGGGTTTCAGGGCACGGTTTATATGGGGGACTTCTGTAGGCTCGGACATTCAGGCGATTGCACAAGTCCTGATGCAAAAAGGGGTGTGGGGTTAGGGGCATCATGTGTGGAACCTGGATGAGTGTATGGTTTGGGCTTGCGGGCTTAACGGTACTTCGGGATTTTTTGAGCTTTGCAGGCTCAGAGCTTTGGGATTTGCCGGTTGTGGGCTCGTGTTGGGTTTGATCAGGCTCGGACTCATCGGGTTAGCCAGGTTTAGGGTTTAGGGGAGCTTTTCCATAAGCCTGGCAGGTCCAACAGGGGGCAGTGACAGCACGAATGCACTCCGGTTGCTCTGCTCTGCAAGTCTACTTCTGACGTAGGGTGCAGATGGCGACGGCCTCAAAAGATCGACAGTTCGTGTGACAGAGTAACGTACTGTTCCAGTCGCTGGGCATCAACAGCCATAAATCAGAAAGCCCGCGTACCCTGTAATTCCACCCCAAGCGACCCAGTGACACGGTAATCTCCCTCCGTTCGGAAGCCTTCAAAGGAAGAAGACACTACCCCGACTGTACAAGTTGCTGGACAATGCGCGCGAGGAAATGCCGTTCACGGACTCTTGGGAGCATGAGGCGTGTCTCGTCGATATCTTCAGTGGTTCTTCAGTACTTTTGGAGAGAGGCTGGGGCGACAAGGATCGTACGATCCCATGGGTCGGATCGCGCGTCAGGGATCTGCGTTTTTTGTTTTCGTGCTTCTTAGCGGAAAAGTGCTCAACACCGAGTACCGAAGACTACTTTCTTCTCCAACATGGTCCTTTTTTGTAGCACTGTGTCTTTTCGATAGTATCCTAACCGTGACTGAACTACATCGGAGAGTAATTGTAGGTGAACCCCGAGAAAGCCCGTATGGAAGGGGGGCACCCCGTTAGCGTCGCTTTAAACCCCTGTACAGCTTGATAAAACCCGATAACCCCTTTTCTGCGTTGCTTCCTGAGCCTTGGAAGTCCAGAGACCGAGACCCGAACCCTTTACCAATGGCATCCCCATGGCAGGAAAGAGCCCGATTAGCATGATAGTGTCAGCACCACCATAATCACGGCTGTAGTGTCAAGAGCAACCCTCATAGACATCGGCATTAACGCACGAGACGTACATCATGCATAGCATCGATGAATTATCCGACAGCTGGCGCCCGAGGCAAGCGATTCTTAAGGAGACCCTGCCGTCGCCCTTGGACCCCTGGCTACTCCGAGAAGTGCTTTGGACCGTGGAGCCTCGCGACGAATGGGACTTTATCATAGCTATCCCGTGACATTCCATGTTCTGACTATAGTATAACGAGTTCTTATCCTTAAAGCGCGTATAGTGTTTGGTTCTTGGGCTGCCAAAAGCTGAGACTTGGGTTCCATAGATAGCTCCACACCGACGTTTAGTCCTTGAGCACTTACCTGAGGTTCATCCAAAGTGGCTATTCTGGTTAGGGCTTAGGAACTAGCGAGGAATCCTCCAGTGGACAACTGTGCCGGCTCTCCTCTCCTCCGGGCTGGGTTGAGGGGTTTCTGACTCTGCCACGACGGGGCCTGAATTCAGAATTTTGTGGGTAAACTTTTCGATTTAGAGTGCTTCTACCTGGCATCGGGTTGCCCTATGCATGCCTATGCTAGCGCCAGCCGGGAGTCTTTAAGCATCGCTGTGGGATGGATCAAAGGACGAGCCGCAACTCCTGAGCCCGCAAAACTGACAATGGCCTTTGGCGGCTTTAGTACTTAACTTGCCTTGCATCCATCGAGGAAAACGACCACGAGGCCAAGCATCATCGAGGGAAGATTATGGCATCTGCATTCGAGGATGCTTTGGTGCAGTTTTGCCAAGATGCCGGTGGCTTGGTGCAGCACCACCAAGTGCCGTTAAAACAAAACTGTTGAGACCTGCCAAGCTGCATCGTTTTCACTTACATATTCTTGGAAGAACGGAGGATGCGACATTGTACCGTGCATCGTAGGTTCATCCAAGCCAGGCAGGAGGCAAAGCAAAACTTAGCGGTCAGCCGCACCTTCTGCATGCTCTTGCGGCAAGACCTTTGGCTTGTCAGTGTGATCTCCTGGCTCTGCGAGCAAAGCGAACCTTCAGCTCAGGCCACTCCGTGCAAACTGAGCTGGAGCTCTTGGAGCAGGGTTCTCAAGAAGGTACCTATAGTCTCCATTGTAGTTCCTTTTTTTGGTTTAACCAATCATATATTAAGGAGTTTGTAAGGTATCCCCAAAAAGGAACTACAATGGAGACTACAGGTATGTTGATCACGCCGGACCTGCTCTTCGAGTCTCCAATATCTCTGCCTCATCGGAAGGAGTCTGTCAGGCCGGGGGTGTCGGTCATGTTTGTTGCCGGTTCCGGCTCGAGGTCTAGATCAGCCCAGCGCACCGCAAAATCGAGCTCTAAAACCCTGATTTTTTTAGGATATTTCAGCGTTTACTGTAGGATCTGCTTGAACCTTGATGTCCCTGAGGTGGATGGAATGCAAGAGCTTCTACGGGACGACTTTCAACTTCGTGATGCAAAGGAAGCTGCTGAAGCAGGCGAAACGCTGCCTGGCACGCAAGCTACGTCGAGGCTTCGTACAGTTTGACTAATCTTTGAGATGTCCACTGACCCAGACTTCTTGTCGCAATGGCAGTCTCCAAGGTCTTCAACGCTGGATGTATAGGCAATCCTGAAGTGAAGTCGAAGATCAGGGTCTGTCCAGCGAAGCCCCAAACCCAAGATCTAGATCAGGTGGAGGCAAAGCCACCAGGATCGCGCCCGAGTGAGGGGGGGAGGGTACGTACTCTTTCGACATGCGGCTCCTCGCGTTCTCTTCTATATGAAGCCGTTGCTACTTGTACAGGATAAGGACAGCAGTGAAAGGTCTCCTGCCCTGCGGCCGCTTCCTCTTCTCCACGCCATGGCGTTCCGCATCGTCGCCCTGATTCTGGCGCTGAGCCAGGCGCAGAATCTGACTGGCCCTGCAGCGACGGCGCCAGGGACGCCGCAGCCCTTGAGCGACTTCCTGCGCTGCCCATGTGGCGCCAGTTGCCAGCAGGACTTGGGCAAGAAGGACATCTACAGCCTGGGGAAGAACTGCACCTGCACCGCCTGCACTGTGCGGGGAGCGACCGCCAAAACGCTGCCGACAGAGGCTGCGACGACCGACCAGCCTGCGACCGTGATCCCTGATATTGGCGACTGGGATGGGGCAACCATGCCGGGTGACGTGATGTACTGCAGGTGTGGAAGTAGCTCTCAAGGCTGCCGAAGCTGCACCCGAACCGGCTGCCCCTGTGGCAGCACCTGCCTGAAATATAGAGTTTGGGCCAGGGGCATGGGTTGGTGTGTCGAGCGCGTGTGCAACGGCTGCCGCTGATCACAGAGCCGTTCTTGCAGCATGCATGCCTGTACAAGACAGGCCGGCGCTGCAGTTGAATTCAATTTTGCGCGAGACCCGTGACTGCTTTAGGGTGGGCAGCTCCGCAACAGGGGGAGCGCAGGGAACCTGTATATGCGAATGCCCAAAGCTTTCAGGGGCTCCCGCCATGTGGCAGAGGACTCGGACAACCTCCTTCCTCCGGCCCGTAACCAGGCTGGGGTCGTATAGGGCGCCAGCAGGCCCACCCATTTTTCACTCCTGGTGGAGTCGCGGGCAGTGTACGCTCCTCACCAGTTCTCTGGCATGCACCTAAAGATGCGCCAGGTTTGTCCAGGCCCTTTGCTGCAGCTATTGCAAGGATGAAAAAGGGCTCCGAGCTCCGTTCGATCTCCAGGCCCTTGGTGCATGCGATGCTTGGACGGACCATGAGCGACATATGAGTTGTGATAGCTTCAATTTGCTGAAGACTTTACGGGACTTCCCCCTGCAATCAGCGTCACTTCGGGCAACGATCAGTAATCGTTCTTGTTGGCGGTTTCAAGCCGCTGGGACCGACTTTACACCCTGACCTCATACATAGACCTTACATAGCAGCATACCTAGTAGTAGAAAGACCCTCCACAAGGGAACCTCGAAGCCTCGCAAGCCCCCTGAGGCTATGCCAATCAGCTGGGGCCTGGTGCTTTGGTGTTCCGGCTCCTCGGACTCCGCGTTGTGGAGCTTGCCTTCTGAACCCTTAACCCTAGACCCTAAACCCCAAACCCTGATCCCTAGACCTTTAACCTTAAAAGGTGTTTGTGCCCTTTGGTGCTTGGGTCAAAGCTTGACACCAAGGCATGGCTATTCTGCTGCCATGAAGAGGCAAGTGGAAGAGACACCCGGACGCAGCAAGCCTTTGCTTGCAGTGCAAAGGTTTTGGCTACTGGATAGTATGTCGTCTTGGAGGGTCCACGTTGGGGTTTCAGATGGCCTTGTCAGACTGCGGTGTTCGAACCTCGGAGCCTTGTTTGTAAGGTTTGCTTTAGGGCGTCACAAAGCATTTGAAGGGGACACACCTGTCGCTTTTCGTCAAAGTCTCCTGCTCCCCCTGCAAGTCACAGCTAGAAACTAGCACGTTTCTTGATGAGCCTTCGGTTCGCCAGCCTAAGTTACCAAGTTAAGGCGAAACCCTAAACTAACGGTAAAACTTGGAGCCCTCAACCCTAAACCCTAAACCCTTTAAAGGAGCCTTGCCGGCCTTATGTGAGAGTGAGAGTCGAAACCCCTAAACCCTTACAAGCTCGGGACGTGTCTTTGCCATGCCTCCCTGGAGCGAGTGTGTGAGTCGAAACCCTAAAAGCCTTAAACCATAAACCCTAAACCCAAACCAGCCCTACAATCCTCTAAAGCCCAAGTCTCAGGAAGGTGCCCGGAGTCGTTGTGCTGGACGGATCCCGTTTGCCCGACCTCCCGTCCCCGCTGGATTCCGATGAGCCGTCGACTTTTGTAGCCGGGCCGAAGGTGCCTCGGGAGGTTTCAGGGCTTAGGGTCTCAGGGCTGAAGACATTCAGGGCTTGGTGCATTCCAGTCCCTGCTCAACAAAGGGTTTCAGGGCTTAGGGTCTTGAGGGTTTAGTGCTTTCAGGGTTAGAGTTATGTCGTTTTTTGGATTTTGGGGTGTTGGTAGGGCTGTTTGGGGGGGGGGGGGGGGG